GTAATGGCGGCTACGCGACATCCGGGGTTAAGAGCCGCTTCAGCGCATTTTTCGGTATTCGAAAAGTCAGAAATCCCCTGATTCCCGCGCACACATTTAATATGAGCAGTCAATCAAGTTTGAACTTCAGTCAAATCAACTCGTCACACTTCATGAACTCCTCACGCTAAGGCAGCATTCTTAGCCCGAGGAGTGGGGGGCAATTGATGGAGGATGATTTGACCCGACCCATTGAGATGATGAAACGTGGACCTGACTCAGCACGAGCAACGGCTCAGCACCACAGCTTGACTGCAACTAAGTAACAAGCTTGTAAAACAGCTCACTGTAGGGGGAGCTCGCTACAACGCGAGCTCCAGGTCCCCCGAGCTACTGAGAAGGGAATACTCCAAGACTATTTCAGCTCGCGAGCTAGGGTAACCAGCTCGCTCCAACACTTAGGCAGAAGAACTGCCCCAAAGACAATCTCGATGAGGGCCACCTCGAAGTATCCCTAGGAGCTCGCTACAAAGTAGCTCGTGGCAAAGATAGCTCGCTACGCGACAGGGTAGCTCGTGACTAAGCAACGTGACGTTCTCAAGAAGCTTCTAATCTGACAAAATCATACCCGTCAGATTGCACCACGTCTCTCGACGGCACAGTCCCTGCCCATTTGACAGTCTGCACCCACGTCTCTCGACAGATGGTGGCGTGCCTGTCCCTTCGAGACGTGTCACTCATCCAAGCGGGTAGTACATTGTAAAGATCACCTGCGCAGCCCGGGCAGGTAACGGCTGCGACAGGAGCCCAGTGGCAATTACGCCCGATTTGACAAGAATGCCCCTATAAAAGCCCTTTAGTCGAAGGGGAGATGACGCTCTCTCACTCTCTCGGATTTTCATATGAACTTGAATTATCTCACTTGCTCACGAGCTAATCTTGAGACACAGTGATCTAGCGCGACCTACACTCTTAGCCTTTTGCACTCTTTTCTTCCTCTCCAGCGTTCTAACTTAAGCTTTGGACCGGACAAATCCCCCGGGAATCCTTCACCTTCGTCTTCTCAGGTGTCGTCCGTTACCAGAAAGGAGCCAGTCAACTAAGAATGCCCGGATCGTGCCGCATCAGAATCCATGTTCAAGAAGGGTGACACTCGAGCTTTAAGAGTCTCAGTCCAAGGCTGTAAAGTGGTGTTGCGAATATGGAACTTGACATCCATACAAAAAAAGGCTAGTCTAGTTTTGCCAACATGAATGCATGTGATGAGCAGGTATGAAATATTTGATGAAGATTGGTGGTTTTGGGTTTTATGGATTTGTAGTTGGGCTTAAAAAATTAGTTTGGCCTAGGAAAACAGTTTCTGACTAGAAGACTAAATCCATTATTAAGATTGTTGATAAATAGTATGGAGGTCTTATTAATCAATGGAGTAAAATCTAGGGTTCCACTACCTACTCCTATGGAAGGATTGATGACTATAAGCCAATAGTGAGCAACCGAAAGGAAGAACATGAAGGTGTAATGGGGATAATAGATGATATTGGTTTGAGACCATCCTCATAGCATAGACTCTACAATAAGGCTAAAGTAGTCTTGACATTCTTGATCTTCAACCTTTGACAATGACAATCACTTGGGGTGAAATATTTGGGGACCTAGCACCGCCACACTTTGAATTGATTGTCTCTCTGTTGTCCTTTTCATTCAAAGTCCAAGTACATGTTCTCTCTCATTTTATTGTTAGTGGTACTTCTTTGTTTCTCCATTTTAACTGGTATCAAATTTTTATCATGAAATTATTTGTATGGAATATTAGGGGTGTAATGACTCTCACACTTTCCGTTTCCTTTGAAAACAGATACAAAAGCATAACCTAGGCCTCGTTTTCCCTTCTAAAACTAAATTGGATGAGAATAAAGCTTAGATACAAGGTAAAATAACCAGGGTATGATAATTCATTTATTATTCTGTCCATGGGGAGATCTAGGAGTCTTCTAAGTTATTGGGAAAATGATATGTTAATACAACCTTATTTCTCTTCTGAAAGGACAATTCTACTACAACTAATAAATACAATATCTAATCCGAAGTGGTGAGTTTTCTTGATTTATGGACACCCAATAAAGAATGAGAGAGAGAAATTTCAAGATGCTCTAAACACAATGATGATAGAAAGGGATAGATGGATGTTGTTCTTAGGGAACCTAAATGACATAGTTGATACATCAAAAATATCGGGGTTTAAGCCAAAACTAGAATAAAGTGTTGAAACAATTGAATAAGCTGATTCAAGATGATTTTATTTTAGAGATTGATCAATTGAGTCCCAGTTCACATGGAAAAATGATAAAAGTGGCTATAAATTAGTAAAAAAGTGTTTAGATAAAGACTTGGCTTCAACATGGTGGAATTATACTTTCCCATAAGCAAAAACAAAAGCTATCCCGTCCATATTCTCTAACCATTCCATCCTATTGTTAGGCATCTCCCTTTCTAAAATCTCTAGTCCTAAACAATTTCATTTTATCAATCAATGTGGATAGAGGAGGAATGTAAGGACATCATAAATTACCAATGGACCACTAACACCCATATATCCCTTAATCTACTGTCCAAGCTTAGGAGATGTAAATAAGTCCTTAAAGAAGGGAACCATGCATGATTTGGAAGAATTGAGGTACAATTAGATTGGTTGGAGTAGAGAATTACAAATATACAAAGGGAAGAGTCCCCTTCAAATAGTGCTAAATTAAATAGACTAAGAAAGGGTTATTGGAAATGGATGACTTGAGAAGAACAAATGTGGAAGATAAAATCTAGAGAACTCTAGCTTAAAGAAGGAGATATGAATATTAGATATTATCATCGATGTGCAAATATCAAGAAGCGGAATTCATTAGAATTCTTAATAAGAGAACAACTGATGAGCCTATAAGTTAGAAGTGGCTACTAGATTTAGGAGCCATGCTATGGAAACTAGTGGAACAGTAAATACTTAAGACATCAATTAAAATCTCATTTCTTCTTTACTATTTAGAATAGAGGCTCTTGACCTATTAAATCCCCCCTTTAAAGAAGAAATTAAGAACATTGTTAAATCTAGAGATCCCTTTTAGGCCCTTGGCTAAATGGATTTCCTCCTTTATATTTTATAAAAAATATTGGTATATCATAAAAAATGATGTAATTACAATGGTCAAAGGTTTCTGTAATATAGTTGAATTTTCCTCATAAATAAACTCCATCAGCCTAGTCTATATCCCTAAATTTAAACACCCAAAGAGAGAGAGAGAGAGTATCACAATATAGGCCAATTAGTGTTTGCAATTTCATTTACAAAATCATTACAAAGTGCCTAGTGGTTCGAATATAGAAAATCTTGTTGATATGTGTAGTACCTATATGATAGAATGAGGAGAGAATTCATAATAGAAACATTAATGTCTCAAGTTAGATTTCTAAGAAAATGGTAGATTTTTGTATCAATGTCTCAAGTTAGATTTTCTATCAAAATTAATGGGACACAAAAAGAATTCTTTGAGTTAAGAAAATAGTAAGCCAAGAGGATCACCTATCCCCATTTATTCACCATAGAAATGCAAATCCTATTTAGATTATTTGAGAAGGCAAAAAGGGAGGAAGGGACGAAAGGGTTTAAATTAAGTAGAAGAGGTACACCAATTACCTATTGTTGTTTGAAGATGACTATTTAGTATTGTGTAAGGATAACCCAGACAAGTTCACAAAGTAAAGACATTTGAGGCTTTATTAGGCTAAATGATCAACTCAAATAAATTGGGAGCTCATTTTAGCAAGGAAGTCCATAGAAAGAAGAGGAAATACTATTGATATCCCTAAATGTCAAACAAATGTAGACGGAAGAGAAATGCCTTGATAAAAAAATTGCAATTTGGATCATGATGGAGGGAGATTTGGCCCGACCCCTGACCGGATTGCGTATCATCAGATCAGCTGATGGTAATAGAAACCAATAAACTATAAACAAGATGGAGGTTTAGCTATTAAAGTGAAAAGCTAAATTATTGTCCCAAGCAAAGAGGACTACAATGGTAAAATCTGCTCTCCAAGCCCTGTCAACCCTAAATATACAATGGGGTCAACAATCCTATTTGCCAAAACTATCTCAAAGTTGGAGCAAATTCAAAAAAAAAAAAAAGAAGTTTTGGTGGAATGATTCCTAGAACAAGAGACCACTCCATACCATTGCTTGGAAGAAAATTTGTAAATCAAAAAAAGCAAATTTGTAAATCATAATAGGCAGGGAATAGACAAAAAGGGGAATCATAATAGGAGAAAATCATAATAGGCAGGGAATAGACAAAAAGGGGAATGACTCCCATTTTTGTTATTTTGAAAAATTTATTTCATTTCATACCCCTTGAATTTTGAAGACGGAATTTTGGTAATTTATCGCCTTCTGTCAGTTTCTTTTTTTTTCAAAAAATATAGCGTTCTGTCAGTTGACTTAATGGTTAGGTATTTGTTATAATGTATTCATGGGTCTTTATCATAAATGAAAATTAGGGGTATTTGTCACTGACGCTATTCTACAGGGAATCTTTGTAAAATATTTAATTACAATTACGCATTTACAATTCTCCATCTCACGTTGGTTGGGCCGGCTGTGTAGGAATAGGAACTACATGACCTCTGCATGTTTGCAAATAATACATCCGCATCCATGTGGGCCTCATCTCATCGACGTAACTGCTCGGTCCATTCTATGAGGGGGCAGATTTGAACTAAGGAAGGACTGAAGGAGTGGTTAAGAGAGTAGAGTCGAAAGTCGAGACAGAGGGTCTGAGCCTAGACGAGACCTGATCCGTTGCTTATAGCGCTTTGTATAGAAGGCAAAGTAACCAATAAAATTTGAAGACGTCAGTGTTTCGCACAGTATCATGAGTAAGGAACACTGGCGTGTTTTAAGCCCGCAATACATAGTGGTCCCACAGTGAGAGCCCGCGAATCCGCGATATCATGAATTTTCACCTTGCCTAACTAACTGTTCTCCACTCCCTCTTTTAAAAGTCTTGTCTGAAGCCTTTCAGTGGCCACGAGCGACGGAGCGAGAGAGAGAGAAAGATTTCTGAATTGATAAGCTTAAGGTACTCAACGTTGTTCTTTGATTATATGATCGCGTATGGCTGTAGTTCTTACTCAGTGAGATTTGTTTCTCATGAACTTGGCTTGTCTTCTCTGTTTTTTTTTTTTGTTTGGTAGAAGAAGAGTTGTTTGTCTTATGAGGTTTTGGTTCTTCTTCTTTGATTCAGTAAAATCCTCTGGATTTTTTTTTCTTTGATTCTCTACTTCCTCTTTTAGAGAGAGAGAGAGAGAGAGGTTTCTGAATTAAAGTACTCAACGTTGTTCTCTGGTTATTATGATCATGTATGGCTGTAGTTCTCACTCGGTTAGATTTATTTCTCTTGAACTTGCCTTGTCTTCTCTGTTTTTTTGGTTGAAAATGAGTTGATCGTCTTGTGAAGTTTTTGGTGCTTATTGCTTGGACTCAGTAAGATCCTCTGGATTTTCTTTTTTTTTTATTGAAGATGATATGTTTTGATTGGGCTGCAAATATGAATACAGAGTGGAATAATTTTGTGTAATATTTTTTAGATCAGAAAATATGACTTCGAAATCTGAACTAGAAGTGAAATATTGGTTTTAATGTGTCTGTTGGATCGTTTGAGATTGTAGTTGAAATTTCCTTAGTCTTTTATTTTCTACGTTTTGTGCAGATTTACTTATACACTGATTTACTTTAATGTGCTATCAGAGGAAGCATTAACCTATGGCTAATGAAAAAGTGAACTTACTTTAGAGGTCCTATTTTTGAGATTCAGGTGTATGTATGTTTGGTATAAGCTATTTCTTGAAAGTTTTGGAATTCATGAAGTACTCTTCCTTGCTTCCTCTTATCTAGAAGTCGAAGTGATTTGTAAATTGATTTTTGTGTTTATGTAATTTTTCCTCCAGTTTCTCATGTTCAAAAGAACTCTTTCTCAGTTGCGAGTCCATAGAGTAAGTAAATATGCATTTTCTCAGTTGTTTTGATGCCTTGTTGTTTCCACTGATTCTAATTTAAAATCTTATTATTATGGATATGAAATGCTTAATTTATCTTTTTTTATGTGTTATTTTTGTGCAGACTATTTGTTTGTCCTGCTGGATTTCTTGTACACTTATTTTTACTATTGCATTTTTCAGTTTTATATGATTGAATTTTTCTGTGGTTTCTCCTGTTTCATCTTTTTGGTGCTTTGTCTAAGGATTTTACTTTTGTTATGTGCTTGGGGAGTCTCATCTTTCCTGTTTATAAATTTGTTGTTTTCAGTAAAATTGGGTTTTTGTTGTCTCAATACGAAAGTTTATTGCACTGAATTATTTATGGTTTTGGTTGTAAGCATGCTTCTCCATTTTGGGGCTTATGTTTATTTTGAATTATGCATTTTTACTTGTTTCTTTGGTTATAGTCCATTTTTTTCTTCATGTTCCTGTGCAGTCATCATCATGGCAAGGAACAAGGGTGATGGGCATCCTACTTCAGGGTCACGTGGAGCTACTGGAGGCATAGGGTTCCAACGCTCAGTGGAGACAGCCTCATCATCACAACCTGCAGGCAGAGGATTTCAAGGGAGAAGGGGTCGGGTCCGTCGGGGTCCATTGGGCCAAGGTGGTCATCGGGGAGGTGGTGGGCAGGGATATCATCAGGGGCATGGTAGATACCGATCACGTGGTGAGGTTGCCTCTCAGCAATTTGATGAATTTATCCCTCAGCCTCCAATTATTGGATCTCAGCCACAGACAGGCCTGCTGGCTCAACATTCAGGTATTGCTATGGCTGAATCTAAAAGGAGACAGATGGGTGATGCCAGTGCTGGTGGAGGCCCTTCTTCTGCAACTATTTCCAATTCGAAAACTCCTGATCTGCACCAAGCAACCCTGGCTTGCATCCAGCCAAAACCTTCTGCAGAACTTGCAGGATCCTCATCACACGCTGCTTCTTCATCTCAGTTGCCCTTGTTGCAAATGTAACAGGAAATTCAGAAGTTGTCGGTCCAATCAGAAGGAGCATCTACTCAAGCACTTGTGGACCCTGTTCCATCAGGTGAATCTGTGGAGTTCCCACTGCGCCCTGGCAAGGGTAAATTAGGGATGAAGTGCATGGTGAAAGCAAATCATTTCTTAGTACAGCTATCTGTTAAAGACCTTCATCAATATCGTGTGAGCTCAATATTCCTTATTAAATCTTCTAGTGTCTTGATTTGGTGATATATGAATTAAATATTAATATGAAAATGGTTTTGATTAGGTTTCGTTGAAGCCTGAAATTACTTCTGTGAGTCTTAACCAAGCTGTGATGAAAGAGTTGGTGAAACTATATGAACATTCCCATTTGGGAGGCTTGATGCCTGCTTTTGACGGTCAACATAGTCTTTATACAGCTGGTCCACTTCCATTTACTTCAAAAGAGTTTGAGATCATACTGAGAAATGAGGATGATGAAAGTGGAGGAGGTTCCAGGTCCTTGCATAAAGCACTTTCATATTGTTGTTACTCTGCTCTGCTGTGTACAAATTGGTTTTTGCTTTTGTTCTGGTTGTCTGTCATGTAGGAGTATGTGTATGCTTTTACCTTCTATATCTCATGATTCTCATCATGTTGCATTTCTTGTATACAGACGAGAAAGGAAATTTAAGGTTCTGATTAACTTTGCTGCATGTGTTGATGTGCATCATTTAATAAAAGGGAAGCATGGTAATGTGTCTCAAGAGGTTCTTCAGGCACTAGATGTTGTTCTGCGCCAGACACCTATGAACAAGTAATCTCTGTTATTTCTATGATGTGTCCTCCATCCTTTTAGAGCATTATCATGTTCTCTACATTGAGAAAATGTTATCTATTACCGATTGTAGGTATACTCCCTTGAGGCGATCATTTTATTCTGATGAATTAGGAAGACAAGAAATTGATAATGGTTTGGAAGCTTGGTGTGGTTTCTACCAGAGTTTAAGATCAACTGAGATGGGGTTATCACTAAATATTGGTATGTGCATATATTACCATCCATATGTGGCTTTTTTCTTACCTGCATCCATACATATACATATTTACATACATACATCATATTGTTATCATCCAAGCCTTGTTCCAACCATATGGGGTCGGCTACATGAATCTTGTTTCACCATTCCATTCTGTTCAGTGCCATATGCATTGTTAAATTATGAGTGATTAAATCATTTCTTACTGTTTTGAGCCTTCAACCCATGTTTGTTCTAGTCTGCCTGTAGCTCTTCTATCCCCTTCAACTTGTAACAAATCACTTCTTATAGTTGCAGTAGATGGTCCACTGTACACGAGTTCAAGCCTTTTAGTATACTTTCTCTCCATAAACCTAATTTTGCATTTAATCCTTCATTATTTTCATCAATTAGTACCCTGTTATCAGCAAACAACAGGCACCAAGGGACCTCTTTCTGAATATGTTTAGTCAGTTCACCCATGACAACTGCAAACAAATAAGGACTAATCCAACCATTATCACATTAATAAATGTGCTTGTCCATGAGGTATTACATCCATATATATTGTGAACTATTTTCTAGTATTTTTTGACCAATATTTCTTAGTTATTTTGTATTGTGCTTGGCCTATTTCTGGGGTGCTCGGATTATATTGACATGTTTTGTTGTAAAGAAAACTAAACTTATGAGATCAACTGGCCCATATAGGTGATCATTTTCTTGTTTTTCCTTGGAATGGTGACACTTCATTATAAATCAAGTAATTTTGTCTTTTCTGGGAGGATTCTTTCTGTCACAGACATGTCAGCTTCTGTTTTTGTCAAGGATTTGCCTGTTGTTGATTTTGTGCATCAGACATTGAACAAGAATCCCTCAACTAGACCGTTATCTGATGCTGACCGTCTGAAGGTATTTTTGCTTTGGTTTACAGCTGTTGTTATGATAATTAACCTCCTTGCTTAAAGCGAATTGGCATTTTTCTCATCCCCTCTTTGGTTTTTACCTTCACCGATTCCTAGTGAACTCTGGTGGTAGCAGTATTTCAAGTTTTTGAAACACTTATTTTTTCTTTTTCATTGCTTAATAAATTTTGGTGTATGTTTTCTGTTTCCATATTTTGGTCAACTTGATGTTGCATTTTTATTGTATTTTCGTTTTTTTTGTTTTCTTGTTAGTGATAAAAAATTGCATTTATCACTTGTATTAATCAGTGCCTTGTGGAGTAATTCACAGATCAAGAAGGCTCTTATAGGTTTGAAAATTGAAGTTACACATAGAGGGAACATTCGCAGGAGATATCGCATATCTGGTATAACATCAGAGTCCACTACAGAACTTAGGTAAGAAATTATTTTCCAAAGTTATTTTTACACCATGATTGCTACTGGTTAACCTTTCCATTCTATCGGTTACTCTATATTCTATCTGAAATGCATTTTATATGTTATTAATTCATTTTCTTTCTTACTTTTTCTTTCTTTCGGTTGGTAACTATTTGTCAATAGTTTCCCATTTGGCGACACTGGCACCCCTAAATATGTTGTTCAGTATTTCAAAGAGACCTACAATGTGATCCTTGAACATACTTCACTTCCTTGTTTGCAAGTGGGGAGTAATGAGAAGCCAATTTATCTGCCAATGGAGGTCAGCATATTCAACATACTTTTTTTTTTACCTTCTGTTCTGCTGGGTGAATTACCTGCTAATCTTTCTTCAAATGCATTCAGTTTTGCAAGATTGTTCGTGGGCAGAATTATAAAAAGAAATTGAATGATAACCAAATTTCCAATATGGTAGGGTTCAACTGCAAAAGTCCCATTGATCGAGAGGAAGATATTTTGAAGGTGAGCACTTCTAAAGTATTTCTTCATTTCCTTTCATGCCCCAAATAACTGTTGCTTAAGGAGGGTTTCTGTTTGCTTGTAGTGATGGTGAAACCCATGAAACCTTTTTTTATTCAATTCAACTTTTATCTCTGACCCTGAAACAAACCTTGGAATTGATGGAGCTGGTTGCTTAGTCAGGGATCATTTTACTTTAGTTTTTTGAATGAAATATTGGACAAACTTTGGTGTGGATTGGTCTAGGCTTCTTGTCTTCACCTCTAGAATATATATATATATATATATATATATATATATATATATATATTTTTTCTGTGGATAAATGCTAGGAAACAAGTCAACCTGAAATAAGATCCGTCCATACTGTACCATTTGACCCTTGATCTCTGATCTTTGTTTGTATTTTAGACTAACTAAGAGACCCTGCATGCCAAAAAATCAGCCTGATCGTATGATATAATTATAGACTTTTCCTTTTATATTTGGATCGTCCATAGAGCTTCTAGAATGCTGACAGAAATATTTTAAAGATCAAATGGGTGAAAATGTTCTAATAGTGCTAGGTTTTGGGCATAAGGAATCTATTAGGTAGGATGCATCCATTGTTGTTTCTAAAATCACAATGCAAAAACAACAAGTGAACAACTAAAATACATGTTCATTGGCATTCTGGGACGACTGCTGGATTGGCCCGAAATGGAAATCTACACTATGATCTAAAATGCAGTTGTCCACGTCAAACTCCTCGTTATTGCTTCCCAACCCTTCTAGAATTTTGTGTGTGTGTGTTTTTAATTTTTTAAAATACAAAACTAAATATGGGGATTTTTAAGCTCACCTACAGCCAATTCAGTTGAGAAACTGAATGTAACATGGGCATCACCAGCCCATGCATTGCACAGGTCTCTTCTTGTTTATACTATATTTGAGAATCTTGACAATTGGAATAAAACAATCTGTATCTCGTTAGCTGTATCTTACCTTATTTAAAGTAATAGTCTTCCTTGTATTATCTGGGACTGTAAAAAATATTGACGGTTTACTTTTAGATGATTGAATATTGGGTTTCTTTTGTGCAAATAAGTTGGGATAGTTCTAGAATGATGAATGGTTTCTACTACTGTACTGTTGACAGCAATAAAAGAAGATGATTGATGAATGTTCCATAGACAGCAATAAAAGAAGAGTAAAAGAAAGATAAAGTGTAGAAGAAGGGTCGGGTTGAGAGAATCAGAAGGAAGAAGAAGAGTAGAAGGGTTTTCCAGTCAAAGAGTTCGAACTGGACTCCCCTAACTGTCAACCCTTAATTTTATTTCATAACTTAAAGTGAAATTTCAAGATTGCCCCTGTGAAATATTTCAAGGATCCTAGGTCTTTATGATATGAGTGTGCTTTTATTTTGTGGATTGGAAGCTCTCCTAATGTGGGATAACACCTCAAAGAGTGACAGAAGGTCACTACTACCTAGAATTTGAGCCTGTACTGGTTCAAACTCAGTTTTCAACCCAGATAAGAATTGGGCAACATCTAAATGTTTCCTCTGTTCTTGTTGTCCTTCAAGTCAGTGGGTAGGGGCTGATATACATTCAGTTCATTCCTCAGACTTTTCAAGGCCGAATAATATTCTTCTACAGTTTGAACACCTTGTTGGAGGGTAAAATATTCCTGATATAATTGACAGATTCTCGTCACGTTGTCCTGTCTAGAGTATATCTGTTTTGCACGATCCCAAATGTCTTTAGCCGTATCTAGGAACATAAGATTAATACTTACGCGATTCTCCATAATATTCAATAATGATATCATAATCTGGGCATTTTCTTGTACCCACTCATTGTACCCTTCAGATCCACTCTTAGGTTGTCCCTCCTTAATATACTTCAGTTTTCCTCTCCCAATAGATGAAACTTCCACTGATTTCGCCCATGGTAGATAGGTGGTACCATGAAGCTTGATTGTAGTCAATTGGTAATTTAAAAAATCTTGCTGTAACGCTAGAACTGATTTAAGTCCACTATTTGATGAAGCCATCAGCCCAAAGAGATCAAAAGGGAAAAAAGAGAACACTGTTCACTTCTCCAGTTGCTTGATTAATATGCTACTGCTAGCAACTACTCAAGAAAGCTCTTGTAAAAAAGCAAAGATGGAATTCTACTGTACCCAATTTTCAACACTAAAAACCAATAAAAAAAACACCACCTACCTTAATCACTAGGACAACCTCATAGCCACACGATCAGGCTACTGTTACACCACATCATACCACTTGATCACCACAATTGATAGAGAACTGGATACCTCCTACACCCAAAAGACACCCCATTTTTGGCTGCAGATTAGAGGGAGTCTAGGAAACCACCGAAAAACTGTCAATGACTGAAATCTGAGACATGGAAACCTACTAAACCCAAAAACGACCAGTCCTTTTTGATCTGAAGTCTTCATTCGAAGTATAGAGGGAGTGCTCTCAATGGAAAGGTTTCTTGTGACGTCAAAAGCAGTCCAGGTCGATTAAAGGTGCTCTGGTACCATGTAATCTTCCATAGACAGCAATAAGAGAAGAGGAAAAATAAAGATAAAGTGAAGAAGGGTATGGCTGAGAGAAGAAGAGAAGAGAACACGAGAACAAGAGAACAAGAGAACAAGAGAAGGGTTTTCCAGTAAGAGAGTTCGAATTGGACTTCCCTAACTGTCGACCCTTACTTTATTTCATAACTTAAAGTGAAATTACAATATTACTTAAGTCCCAGTAAGAGAAAGAATAAGCATCCTAATAAATATAAATGGGAAGACAATTATACCCCTGCTAACTAGACTGTTACTTTAACACTACCCCTCAAGCTGGAGCATATATATCATAGAGCTCTAACTTGTTACAAATATGGCATATTCTAGTTCAACTCAAGCTCTTAGTGAAGAGATCTGCTAGTTGGTTTTAATTTGACGTATGGTGTAACTATATCGCAACTTATTGCCTTCTCTCTCATGAAGTGGCAGTCAACTTCTATATGCTTTGTCCTCTCATGGAAAAATGGATTGAAGGCAATATGTTTTGCAGCTTGATTATCACAAAATAGCTTTATAGGTTAGCTATAGGAATGTGTATCTCCTGAAGGAGACGCTTTAACCAAATCAACTCACAAGTAGCGTGTGCCATTGCTCTGTACTCAGTTTCAGCACTACTTTTAGCAAGCACACTTCTGAGATTCTGATCTAGATGCAGTAGTTGATCAAAGAACTGATTTGATTCAAGAGACAACCAATTAGTAATAGCGCTGAAAAGAGGAGGGAGGAGAGAAAGAAGTTGTATTTTGGGAAGCAAAACTGAATGGGCCATATATCCCATTCTATTCATTATAAGAGAGCCTTTACAATAAAAGTTAAAAAGATTGATCTACCCATAGTGGTCGACAGCAATGAGAAGCATAAAAATTATAATAAATGACAAAGCTTATCAAGAGCCCAATCCATATACAGGAGTAATAAAAGAACAGAAACAGTCCATATTCTAGCACTCCCCCTCAAGCCGAGCATATAAACTAATCATTCCTAGCTTGCCAGCCTTGCCTACATAATAATCAAGCTTTACCTTGTTGACTTCAGTTGAACAATTTACCTAGCTATCCATCTAGGCATCTATACCAACGTAGGGAAGACAAACTTGCCCTATAACTACAGGCTCTTTGATAAAGTGCCTACTATGCTGAACCAGATTATGAGTTGTAGATTGACAGAAATAAAGGAGAAAAGAAGGAGAAGAGAAGGAAGAGAGAGGGAAGAAGAAGAAGAAGAAAATGTTCTGTATTATCTGTAAGGCTGGTGGCGCCCTAAGTTAATATTTATACTTAGGGTGACAGCTTATAACAAATATCATAGAAAAAATCAAAAATGCCCTTACAGTGCCGCTACATGTTACAGCACTCCCCCTCAACTTGGAGCATACATGTCAATCATGCCCAACTTGTCACACAATTCATTATGTTGCAAATAGTAAAGACCCTTTGTCAGGACATCAACTAATTGTTCCTTGGAGCTGATTTAAGGAGTACAAACTTCCCCCTTTTCAAGTTTTTTCCTTATGAAATGCTTATCGACTTCAATATGCTTGGTCCTGTCATGAAGAACTGGATTGGCTGCAATATTAATGGCAGCCTTGTTGTCATAGTAGAGAGACATCGGTCCATCAACAGAGAAACCCAACTCTCCAATCAAATTCTTTACCCATAGTACTTCAGAAACTCCATGTGCCATGGTCCTATTCTCAACCTCAGCACTAGATCTGGCCACTACACTTTGTTTTTGCTTTTCCAAGTGACCAAGTTTCCACCAACAAAGGTGCAATATCCGCTAGTTGATTTTCTATCGTCAACTGCTCTAGCCCAATCTGCATATATGTAGACTTCCACTTGCATATGACCATGTTTCTTGAAAAGTATTCTAGTTCCTAGATATTTCTTTAGATATCTGAGTACTCTCTCAGCTGCCTCTAAATGGGAGGATGTTGATACATGCATAAATTGACTAAGAACACCAACAACATAGGCTATATTTGGCCGAGTCATTGATAGGTAGAGAAGTGTTCCTACCAACCTTTGAAACTTCTTGACATCTGTCACTAGTTCTATAGGCTTTTCTGCCAACTTTCTAGTGTCCTACAAGAGGTCTAGGACATATTTCCTTTGGGAAATGAAGATGCCCTTTTTTGAGCGGGCAACCTCAATACCAAGGAAATAACGTAGTTGTCCCAGATCTTTCACCTTAAACTGCATAGCAAGGGATTCTTTAACCTTTTGAATCTTAGAGTCCCAATTTCCAGTAATCACAATGGCATCAACGTAGACAATCAATACCATAACATTCTTCTGGATTCTTTTGACAAATAGGGTATGGTCAGATTGGCATTGTTTGAACCTAATTTGTTGAAGAGCCAAGTGAAATTTGTTGAACCAGGCTCTTAGGGATTGTTTCAAACCATATAAAGATTTTTTTAGTTTGCAAAC